ACTCACGTTCAAGTACACTTCGCTGCAATGGAAAACTCACAAAGTCAACAAATGAGGAAAGGAAGAAGAAAGACAGAAGTTTGACCCTAACCCTAACCCTAACCCTAACCGGTACGGGAAATGTTAAATTTGTATTTTTAATGTTGAAAGTGTTCGATAGAAAATAGTGTCACTAGCGCCCCCTTCATTTTCGGAATGCAATAGTCCCATTTCCATATAAGGTATGGGACTGACGGAAAGGTCCGTCACCGCCCCGTTCTGCATGCTGCAGCGAAGTGTACTTGCCCATTAAGGGAAATATCTTTGGTAGGTCGGGGTAAGGACTGAGGCAGGGCTATTCAGCTACATTGTTTGGGGGCCACAGGTACTGTGAGCCAACAACACAGGGGCCGACTTATTAAAGTTTCAGGTATTTTACATTAAAGTCTTGATTCTGTAGTTTTTTTCACATTTCATTCAGGAAAATATAAAGAATAAAATAACAAACCCAGAATTACACAAACTACAATAAAGCAACCAAAACCAATCAATTCTGCTTGGTGAGTTCTGAGTGCACTAGAACTATTCTTGATATTTTTGTTAAATAAACCAGATTTTTTTTAAACTATAACTGGCACATATTTGAGCTTTATCACAGGCTCAAATGATCCTAATGAGTGTGGCACAGAACCAGGCACAGAACTCTTCTCACAGCTGGCTCGCATCAGGATCTCTAAATAACTAAAATCAATGGTGAGCTCAGACTCATTCTCAAAACATCTCAACACATCCCCTGAGGGGTTACAGACCACATTCCTTTAATGGCACTGCAGTCATTTTGAATGTGGTTGTGATGTGCTTTTATTTTGATAATTTGTATGTTAACAGTGGGGCCGGAAACGCCGCCATCCTTCATTGTAAACATACTCTGCTGGAATGGTTCGTTACGCCTCTGAGCTAGCATCAGATATGCAATGAAGCCTCGCAAAGTCAGTCTTTCCTGAATTTTTTCTTAGAACGCGTCTAATAGTAATTTGCGGTGATGTCCGTAATTTTGAGGAAAACAGAAATAAAAGTAAGTGCAGGAAGAAAAGTTGTTTTTTTTTCTCTGTCATGCTTTTTTTCGTGGGTTTTCAAGCTAAATTATGAGGAACAATATAATTTACTAATTTTGTAACGTAAACATTAACATAAATTTAGTTCCATATATATATTTTGGTTTTGTTCGTACTGCATTATGATGCCACCCAAATGTGCCTATTTTGGATAGCATCCAGCATTCAGATTTTTTTCATGATTTGCTGGTACTTGAAGAGCGTAACCCCCGACAAAATCAGTACTGGACCTTTATCTGAAAACTGTGAAAAAACTAACAAACAAACAAATAATTTAACATAACATGAATGTGCAGACTCACACCCCAACACTAGAAGATATAATGTATTGTGCTTTAGGATTTAAGATTCATCTTTATCCACAGTATTCCTGATTTTGCGCTGAAAAAATGAAAAAAAAAAGCAAGCAAACTCTCTTTGGTGGGTTTTTCAAATTTAAAGCTGCCAGCCATCCAGGCGCTGAGCCTTTACTACGTCTTGATCCAGCCAAAATGTTTCAAAGCGTTTCTGTTTTCATCAATTGTTGTGGCAGCCGACAAATACACAAGTTCAACCCGAACTCGTGATTGAACTGCGCAAGCCGCCAGTTAGAGCAAAAACAAACTGGATTTGTTCTTATCATGACTATCTGAATGAATRAATTTCTTGCGCACCAGAAAAACCGAACAGTCGGGAGGGCTGTGGGCGGGGCTAGCGTCTGTCATGACAGTATCATAGTCAGTGTTTTCTATTGAGCTAAGAAAGTGCTGACTCCGAAGCAGGAGCTAAAAAAATGAAGTTAGACTCTGAGCAGCCTCAGTACTGGCAGCGCAAAAACAAGCAAACCGGTTATAAAAATGTGTAAGGTGGTCCTCTTAAGTACTCTATACCAGCCTTGTAAAAAATCCAAAATGTATTAGAGCAATTCCAGTAAAAACTCATCCTAAAGAAGTTCTGCCATTTAGGGCTGCACGATATTAGAAAATCTTGCGATGGTGATRGTATTTTTAAATGTTGCAATGATATCATGTGCGATGTCTTTTTTTTTGTTTGTTTGTTTTCCTCCCTATCTAAACTGAACTTCCTACTCTGTGACCTTTAACACTTTTGGCAATATCATTTGTGTCTACTGTGAGCCGCTGCTGCTGTTGAGTCCTACTGGCTAACTTCAAACTCTTC